GACGGTGTCGGAGATCCGCTCCCGAGCGGAGGGTGAGTGCCCGCCGCCGCAGAGCCTGTGCGCGGGGGCGGCTCGGAGCACGCACGCGTGTGTTTATCCGGGAAGGGACACTTCGTCTCACCTCTTGGCCCAGCAGTCTGGCTCTAGCGCCCGGTCCATAGGGGACCCTTCCCCCCGTGCTGTCTTCGATGCATTGGCAAACCCCACTTGGCGTCCTGGGCGGGAGCTCAGAGGCTTGCTTTACGCCGCACTGGGACCATTCTGTCCCTGCCACGGACCGCGTTTGCCCTTCTCACCTCCCTCTTCTTTAGCGCTCTAGCCACCGAATTCCCACCCAGTGCGCCTTACTCCCTGAGAGGGATCAGATCCCCAGCGCGCCGTCTGCGCCTCTAGTGCCCACCTTTTTTTGCAACCCCTACATCACAGCTCCCGAGGGAGCGGGTTTGTCTTTCCCAGGCTGCCGGATCCTTTGATCTGTAGTCCCTTTGCTCCCCTAGGTGCCAGGATCCTTAATTGGGGTTGGTTGTTCAGTGGGTACAGTGCATTACAGTCTTTGCAATTCTGCCTCCTGCAGCAGAATCTTGCCAGGCTCTGGCCTGAGGTTTCGTTTTGGGTTTTCCTTTAGCCTGAAACCTTCACTGGACGGCTGAGCTGCCTTGAGATAGATGGAAGCTCTTCTCTTTGCTTCACCCAGGGCCAGCTGTTGAATGGCTACACTTGTGGGCATTGAGCAACAGATGCCCGACAGTACAGGCAAGAAAGCTTTCAGAGGACCAAAACACCCTCTTCCTGGCAGACAGCACCAGCGACCTGTCTGCCATGTGGCAGGCACTCAGTAAATATTCCTTGATTTTGCTCAGGGCAAAGCCAAGACTGTACATTTCTTGAGTTTTGTCTTTCACGTCCATAACCTTTTACTTCCGGTACTTTAATCTTCTAGCGGGGAATAGCATCCTTCTGGGAGCTGTCTGTCTTGTCATAATCACTGAATTTTACCCTTACTCCCCACCCCCTTCCCTAATGTGAGGCAGTAGGTAAAGGCAAAAAAGAAAGAGCAGTGAGAATAGGATTCCAAGGGTGTAAAACAGGGCATTTCAGTTTTTCTTTGTAATATCCTCATGTAAAAATAAAGATTCCTGGATTCTGATATCTAATATTTTCTGATTCCCTGACTTGGGAAATTGTTAAACTGCTTTGGGGAGAAGGCCACACAAGTGAAAGCAGTCCTGAATTCTATGTAGGAATTTAGTATACATACTTATTGTCATTGTAATATCAAAAACATTTCTATAAAATATTACAGTTTTACACAGCCATGTTGATATTTAAAATGTTTACAGTAAAAATGTTTTCATTTTTATACACTTCTGAGTGATAAATTTCTGATAAATTTTCCTGCTCACCATGTGAGCCACAGAGGTAGTGAAAAATACAGTGATAATGGCAGTGTTAAAAATGTAATGGTTAACAATTGGTGTTTTTAAGTCATAGCAATTGATGGATCATATATTGTGGAAAAAAAGAGACAAGAAAAAAGTCAAAAAGCAGTACAAAACCTGTGGCATGTGAGATGATTTTGTCAGTATTGAAAGGCTGCAGTATCGTTTTTGATTTGCATATGTAGTTTTCACAGTACCTCACAACGATTGCTTTATGGGCTCTTACAACACTCCTGGAGGTTGCTGAAGGTGGAGTACTATCTGATTGTTCAGGAAACTGTGGCCCAGAATAGTTTCATAATCTGCCCAAGGTCAAGTAGCTAGTTCAGTGACACATTTAGATGAAGAGCTCTGGGGAAACAAAGACCACTCCTTATTTGATCTTGTATTATCCCCTGTGCGTTCAACAATGCCAGGGGCATTGATTCTTCCCCCCCATATTGATCGATTTCTGTTTATTATGTACTCAGCATTCTGCTTGGGGCTGTGGTGAAGACAGTCTCTCTCTGGGCTGGTAACATGGCTGATTTTCTGCTCTTCCCATGTCTTTCTTGCCTAAGGAAGTCTCTTTTGACAGCTTCTTCCCAAAGAGCTTGTTCTTTAGGACTGCAGTCTCTTTGGCATTGGCAGCTTGATAGTCTCCTGACCAAGGGCAGCCAATCCATAGGTTACCAGTATTCATAACCTCATGGTTTGTCTTAAAAGATTTTATGTCTTATTTTTCTTGGAAAGCACTGAGATTAGAGATTTTGAATGAAAGTCATCCAGAAAGCGCAGAGACTAATAGGCTATTGGAGAAAAGAACGTATGGCTCTGCTAGGTCATGCAAAAACTGCTCATATAAGGAAACAGAAATTGAGTAAAAAGATAGGAAAGATGATAGAAGAGATATGGAAATGCAGATACTGAGAGAGTGTGGATAGAGTCCTCTGTCCCTGAGTTTTCTATTTGAAGTTTCTAAGTAGCATTGAAATACACCCCCACTTGAATGGGTTTTTATTTCTTGAATCCGGATTGTCCAGATGCATGACTGTTTTGCCTATAAATTGCTTACAGACAAATTGGTGAGAAAGCATTTAAATAGGGAATAAGTAGTCTAAGAGGGGATGTTGTTAATTAAGCATTGTGCTTACTATAGGTCCTGTGGAAGATCAGGGGTTTAGCACATTCTTATTCCTGAGCAGGCGAGTACTTCATGGAGGGATGATCTGAAGTGTCTTCATACAGCGCTCTTCTAACTTTAAGCTGCGAAAGAGTCGCTTGAGGATCTTAATGCAGATCCTGAGATCAGGAGGCCTGAGGTTAGGCCCATAGTTGTTCCATTTCTGTCAAGCACACAGGTCATGCTGGATGCTGCTAGACTACAGATAAGTCTTTACAGGATATTGCTATCTATTTCAGTAGCTGGAGGGTGTTGAAGAAAAGAGTAATAACATTAAAAAAACGGAAGTGAACATGGCATATTTCAGAGTTCTTAAGGACACTGGCTAGGAGCAAAGGGAAACTTGGAAGGAATTTGATATAAGTTTGGATAGGTAAAGTACTGCTAGGTAGATTAAAGAGCATTTTGAATGCCCATATGAGTGGTTTGGATACAGAATTGAGTATTTGAATGGGATCTTAGAGCTCACCTAATCCAATTTCTCATTTGAATATGACACCAATACCTACTAACTGACAGGGCCAGTTTGGAACTAAATCATTATAAGGGAACAATGTTCCAAAAGTACTGGCTCAGAAGAGTCAAGAAGTATGTTGGATGGTTTGGAGGGAAAGGTACTGTGGATAGGCTCTATTGCAAGAAAGTCTTAGAACAACAAGTTCAAGATTAGCTTTGCAGTGGAACAGTGAGTATGGGAAGGGAGGGATCGTTCAGCAGACATCTACCAGGTATTTCCAGGTGCGTGGCATACGTCAGGAAACAGAAGCAATGGTAGGTGCTTACATTCTAGAGAGGTGAGCAGGGGTCAAAGCAAATACCCAGAATAAGCAAATTTTGGGAGGCTATTGGAAGACTAAAGAGAAGGAGAATGGAGAAAGAGGATGATGGATGGATTTCGATTTTAAGGAGGTTGGCAAAGTTGACCTGAAGAACATGAGGGACTTAGTTTGTTGGGGGTGTGGGGGAAGGGGATGCAAGGCAGGGGGAAGAGCCAGGGTAAACATGGAGAGGTTACAGGATAAAAGAAGCAGGGAGGAGAGAATAGCAGGACGTAGTCCCCATTATGGAACTTAGGAAAGGAGACATAGGGACTTTTTTTTTAAAAAAAGATGATTCTCAAGCAATAATTTTTACTTTTAATTTTTATGAGATTCCAGTTCATTAAAGCTTTTTAGGTGTACTCATGAAGATTCCAAGGAGTAAATCTGAGGTAGGCCTGAGGATTTACATTTCTAATGAGCCTCCCAGGATTTTCTGAACTGGCAAGACACATTTTGTTTGTTTTGTTGTTGTTGTTGTTGTTGTTGTTTTGATTTTTTGAGACAGGGTCTCACTATGTGGTTGAGACTGACCTAGAACCCATTATGTAGCCCAGGCTGGTCTGGAACACAGGGTGATCCTCCTGCCTCAGCCTCCCGAGTGCTGGGATTATAGGCGTGTGCCACCATGCCCAGTTTAGTGAGACACATTTTTTTTGTTGTTGTTTTTGTTTTTTGGTACCGGGGATTGAACTCGGGTTCTTGCACTTGCAAGGCAGGCCACTGAACCACTGAGCTAAATCCCTGGCCCTTAGTGAGACACATTTTAAGGAACTCTCCTTTACAGTCTTGAACCTGACTGGGAAAATTTATTATATAAGGGAACTGAGGACAGCAAATACCATAAGAGAAGATACTAATGAAAATTTTGATGTAATTATTTGACATCCAAATTGAAATACTTTAAAGGTTTTGAAATTTTGAGGTCAGATATGAGAAGCCTGATAATTGATAAACTTACCAGAAAGCAAAAGTAAAAACAACAAAATCCTAATGAGATAATTGACACTGTGAAATAGGAAGAAAAGGGCTAAAGGTGTAGGGAAAGTGGGAAGGGTGGGATAAAGGTAATAAAGGAAAAGAAAAAAATAAGAGAAAATGAAAATAAAGGTTTTGTAAATGGGGAGGGGAGGCGGGGGTGAAGGGAGGGCTGGGACAAAGGGAAAAAATGAGAACCAAGACCTGTCATGTAAAGGTACAAGATCCCAATAATGAATAACGGTACTGTATCCCTAAAATGTACCAATAAACTCAGTGAGGAAAAAAAAAAGAGCAAAAACAGAAGGCTAAGAATTTTTAGATCTCTTTATTTCTATCTCAGGTAATTCAAATGGATGTCTGAACACAGAATTAGTACTCTAGAAACAGGAACTGAAATAATGGTGGCTTACACAAGACAGTTTTTCCCACTTCTGTAAAACTAGCGTAGAGGGGAATGGATGGAGTCAGGGCCAGGTGTGACTTCTGCGCAGTCCTCATGGATATTAAGCTCCTGTGTCTTTCCATCTCACCATCCTGTGTAGATAACTTTGATAAAGTCGCAGTGATATGGGAAGAGTGTAACTCCCCATCTGTTAGATACCAAATGTGCCGAGTTCATGGTCTCAACATCATT